TTACCCCTGACAATCACTGTCTTTGATTCTGGTAACCTGCATCTTGTATATACATTTATCTAATTTGGGGGAGAGAAGGGGAATAACAAAATGCTGAAACAAAGACAAAGGATGACCCATTGCAGCTATACTCACAAGACATTATGTTAGAAATGAACTTTACAACTGCCTCCTCCACCCCCACCCCACCCCCCCACCCACGCATCACGGGGAGTAGAGGAAGGGAGTGATAGTGGAAGAAAAACAAAGGAGTAGGTAACAATCAACAAGAAATATACTCATGCCGGGCACCGGTGGCTCGTGCCTATAATCCTAGCTACTCAGGAGGCTAAGATCTGAAAATCGTAGTTCAAAGCCAGCCCAGACAGGAAAGTCCATGAAACTCTTATCTCCAATAAACCACTAGAAAACTGGAAGTGGCACTGAGGGACAGCACACAGGCCTAGAGTTCAAGCCCCAAAACCGACAAAAAAAGAAAAAAGAAATATACTCATTACTCATGTAACTGTAACTCCTCTGTACAGTACCTTTATAATAAAATATAAAAAATAACTCATTATTAAATCCCTCAGCTAAACTTAGTGTTTCTATTTCATGATACAACAACAAATACCTTCAAATTTCTAATCCAGGAACGAGTTTCAAATCCTTGCAGCTTCCTCATCTTTATATAATGACTCCAATAATTACCCAAACTCTTGACAAAAATGTCTGTTTATGCATAATCTTGGTCATAAATACTGGGGGGTTTTCTCTATTTTCTCTCCCTTAAAAAAAAAAATCAGCTGAGCACCAGTGACTCACATCTGTAATCCTAGCTACTCAGGAGGCTGAGATCTGAAGATCAAAGTTTAAAGCCAGCCCAGGCAGGAAAGTCTGTGAGACTCATCTCCAATAAACCACCAGAAAACCGGAAGTGGGCTGTGGCTCAAGTAGAGTGCTTGCCTTGAGCTGAAAAGCTCAGGAACAGTGCCCAGGCCCAGAGTTCATGCCCCACGACCAACAACAACAACAAAATCAACATGAGTGGCTATGTCACAACTGCATCTGTTCATGTTTTTGTTTATAATGTACTTAAGCCTCATTTTGATCTGCAAGGATGTAAGACCCCCCAACACACACAACTAAAGTCATTCATTGAAAGAGACAGGAAAAAAGATTCAACGTATCACATCGTTACACAGATTTCTTTTCAGTATGGGGTTTTTTCCTTTGTCATACTTTAAAACTTTCTTCATTTTCATTTTCAAGACCACATCTGCTACCTCTGAGGCTAAAACACACACACAAAAAGAATAGTTTCACATTCACTGTTTCCATTATTTTAAGTCCTGTTCAATCTCCTTCCCTTTCTCCCATCACACAATGAATGCACATGACAATGACAAAAATGGTCTTCAATGGATGGCTTTACTCATTCATTCACAAACACTAAAGGCATCTTTAAAGAATCAGGCAATATTCAGTCACTTGGTTTGTATCAGTGAACAAAATAGAGGCATACTAGTAGAACTTCCATTCTAAGTAAGCAAAGTTATTACTATAAAAGCACAGACCTAAATAATACACTGTAAGATATGATGCAGGAATTGTGGTGTAGAGACTATGCACTGGATACTGAGAAGTCTGAAAACAAGCCTGAAGTTGGTTAGGGAGGTAATCAAAAGTACACAAGGAGAGCATTCCAATCAGAAGAAGAGAGCAAAGGCCCTGGGATGTAAGAGTGTTTACTGCACAGCACAGAAAAAGGCAGGGTGGCAGGAAAAATCAGCAAACCAGAGAGTGAGTGGAGGAGAAAAGTAGGCAGATCACAAAGGGCCTTGTAAAGAAGCAGCTTTGTGAAATGAGAAGTTGCTACCCTATCTGTCCAGAAGAGTGGTGAGTTTTAAATTAGATCTCAACTTCCAGGGCTGCTGTGTTAACAACAGACTGAAGGGGGCAATGGGGAATCAGGAAGACCAAGGACACTGGTGCAATACTCAGGCTGTGGATATATTTTGAAGGTGGAAGAGCTCAGCTTTCCCAGCAGATTGGGTACAGGATGAGGGAGAAATTGAATTTTCAAAAATGACAGGCAAACTATAAAACAGCACTATGGTGCAGATGTTCCAATAATTCTGGTTTATTGGTCTCATCACATTTTAAGTTCTTTTTAGCTTACTCTTTTAGCCTACTTCCTCCCAGATACTAAGTCTAGACTGAATAATCACTGGAGGTTGATTAAATTTCTTCTTCTAGAAATGATAGATGTAACTACAAGAGCCTCTATCTATCCCAGAAGGCAATCCCAGGCTACTCTGGGTGAAATAGCTAGTTAAGCAATGTCTACCACTTACTAGCTATGTGACTTTTAGGGAGAGTTTTATTCTCTCTAAGCCTTATTTCTGTCTTAAAAGTAAAGAGAACACTGCCCAGGGGTTGGATTGTGAGCTCTACATGAATAAACAAGAACCAAGCAATTAAAACAGCATCTAGCATCAAGTAACCAATATATGGGAGTTGCAATTATAGAATTATGGCTCAAGTGGCAGATAATTAGCCTTAAGCAAAAACTGATCAGGGACAGTGCCTAGGCCCCTCTCCCTCCTCTCCCTCCCTCCTTCTCTCCCTCCTTCTCTTTCTCTCTCACAATCTCTCTCTCTCTCACAATCTCTCTCTCTCTCTCTCTCTCTCTCTCTCTCTCTCTCTCTCACACACACACACACCCTGCATGAAAACTAAAATGTAGATTTGTTCCAAATAAAAGGACTCACAGTAACACGGCATTGTTTATGGCAAATCCTTCTAAGCCATAGTGTCAAATGTCAAATAGTGCTTACAATCACACATTTTCCCCCAGTTCCATACTATAGTCGATAGTAATAACATGTAGCTTAGCTTTTGCTTTTAAAATATGAATCTTCATTTTGTTTTTGCTCTACCATTTAAAACATGAAGTATCCACCACCTATTAGTGCACAACATGATTTTGCATGTCAGCACTGTGTAAGATTGGGTAACAGCTTTCTATAATAAGCTCACTCATTCATTCATTTAAAATATAATACTAAGCTGGGTGCCAGTGGTTCACACCTATAATTCTAGCTACTTGGGAGGCTGAGTTCTGAAAATCACAATTCAAAGCTAGAATGGGCAGGAAAGTCCATGAGACACATCTCCAATTAACCACCAAAAAGCTGAGAGCTGTGGCTCAAGTGGTAGAGCACTAGCCTTGAGCAAAAAAAAAAAACCTCATACTAGGTCTGTCTGTATTATATGCTAGACTTTCCTTTCAGGTGTTTATGGCTAGCACAGTTCTGGCTGTCTAGGTGCTCCTCAGTGGATAAATGCAAAATAGCTGTACTTCAAAGGCATCCACCTACTATAAAATCAGAACTGTATTAGTTTCTTTATATATATAGTAGTCATTTAATAAAGTTGCTGTCTTAAAGAGATGGTATTATCATTTAGAAGAAATTAATGGAAGCCCAAATGAGAAAATGCTTCAGCAATATAAATTTGGTTCCCCACCTCATGGGAAATGCTCCACCCAAAAGACAAGAATGAATTGACAGAGTTATGCCAACTCATTCATACAAGAAATTTTTCAGATTACTTCCTCTAAATTAACTGGGGGGAGGGAGCTTAAGAAAAGAAAAATTCAGAAATTTATTAACTGTGAAAAGACTAGGGGAAAAATGTAAGTGGTCACAAACTTGCATTTCCAATTTCAAATATTTTTTATGTTAAAAAAAACTGTGTAAACTAATTTATGCACGATGTGTAAACTATTCCTCTGTAAATATTCTTAGTCTACAAAACTTATTGACAAGACAGTACTGGACACTGCAAAGCCACCAGGACAAATAAAATACTAATAGGAGTCTGGGTTCATTGGTGGTTCACGCCTATACAATCCTAGTGTCTCAGTAGGCTGAGAGCTGAGGATTGCAGTTCAAAGGCAGTCAGGGCAAGAAAGGAAAGGCTGGGAGACTTAGCTCCTAAAACCGGAAATGGAGCTGTGGCTTGTTGTAAGACTTAGCCTTGAGCACAAAAGCTCAGGGACAGTGCCCAGACAGAGTTCAAACCCCAAAACGGATTAAAAAAAAAATACTAATATTGATTAGTTATATTTTTTCCTTTTTTAACACAAATTCTAAGATGAACCAAAAATTCCCCAGATGCACAGAAATGACAGTAATTCAAGCCTATGTAAAAACTAGGTAGCAAGGCAAAGCTTTTGATGATCTTTTTAAAAATCTTTATCAAAGTGAAGCTTTTTTACTCCAATTCCAGAACCATTCCCCTTCAAAACTTAGGTTACATACCTGTATATATATTTTATGTGTGTGTGTATATACACATACAAAAGCACATGCATATGTATGCACATGTATAGTGTACAGTTGGGGTGTATATACAGAGTTGGGTGTGATGTGGGTATGTATAGTGTATATACAGGGTTGGTGCTGTTTTTAATGAGAATGGGGCGGGGAGGCCCAGAAGTACTTGTAAGTAGCCAGAGCAAGTCAATTCTTCTCATAAGCCTTAGTAGAGAAAAGGAGTCAAAAAACGGGAGATCACTCCCCGTTCCATCCCCTTCCCTTTTGGAAGAGCACACAGGCTCCCGCCTAGTCCCACTGAACTTGGCATCTGACTGCATCCACATAACGCTGGGAAACCCACACTCACCTCAGCCTTGGCCACTCGTGTCCCCTAGGGATCTGCTGGTGCGCGCGCAAGCACACGCACACACACACACACACACACACACACCTCCCACCCAACCCCGGGACCACGGCAGGCCATTCCCCCACCCCCTCTGGGGAGGGCGGGGAGGGGGGGGGCCAGCACGGGGTCGATCCTGAGGCCCCCGGAGCGCCAGGCAGGCAGGCTGGCCCGGCGGCCGGCCAGGACCGGGAGGTGCACTGGCCCCACAGGCGCGTAGCCCCAGCAGCCGAGCCGGAGCGGGCGGGGGAGGGCGGGCGAGGCCGGGGCGGGCGCAGCCCACCCGCGCTCACCGTCGATGTTCTCCCGGTCGCTGATGTGCTGCAGGTTGCAGCCCGTGTCTTCGCGGCTCAGGTCCGTGTCGGGCCGGTAGGACTCCAGCCGGGAGTGGGCATTCCTCCGGAGCTTGGGGCTGGACGACACGCAGCACGAGGTGGTGTTCCCCATGTTCGGCGACCCCCGACGCCTGCTGTTCGCGTCTTCCTCACGGTCCCGGGGAGCGGGGCGCCGGCCGGCGCAGGGCACTAGCGGCAGGGGCGTGAGGAGAGGCCTGCCCGCCGCCGCCGCGGGAGGGCGGAAGCCTCAGCCGGCCGCCGGGTCAGTGGCGGCGGCGGCGGCGGGGCCTCGCCATGGGCGGCGGCGGCGGCGGCGGCGAACTGGAAACGGCGGCGGCGAGCGAGCGGGGACGCCGACTCCCCTCAGCCCCCGAGCGGGCCTCTGGGGCCCGGCGGGCCTGGACGAGACCGAGGAGCGCTGCGGTCGGCGCGACTGCAGTCGCCACGCCGAGCTCACCCCGCCGCGGCCATGGCGGGCGGCGCCGCGTAGGCCGCCTCCCCCGCTTCCCGTTCGAAGCCCGGTTCTAAGGCGGCGGCGGCGGTGGCCTCGGCAAGCGGTTCCGGTTCACGCCGGAGATACTCGGGTGCGTGCCCCGCGGGCGAGGAACGTGGGCGCGGCCCGGGGCCGCGCGAGGCGAGGCGCGGAGGGGCGAGGCGCGGTGCGGAGGAAGATGCTCGCTCGCGCCCGCTCGCGCCCCGCCCTCGGCGCCCGGCCCCGCCCCCGGCGCCCGGCCCCGCCCCCGGCCCCGCCCCCGGCGCCCGGCCCCGCCCCGCCGCCGCCCTACTCCGGCCCTGACCCCGCCTCCCGCCCGCCTCTTCCCTCTGCCCTGGAAGCGGATCCGCCGCCGAGGGGAAAGTGCGGCTTCGGGTTCCGAGCCCTCCTCGCGCTCGCTGGGAAGCCGCTGGGAACTGGCCGCCCTTCTCTGAGGGTCTCTGCCCCTGCGCTTCCTGGAGATGAGGCCTCCCGCCAGCCCTCCGGGGAGCGCTCCCGGAGGCCTAGCCGACCGGGCTGGGGCGCCGACCCGCGGGCCGGGGGCTGCTTGGGAAGATTCAGCGCGCACGGAATGAGCGCTTGCCTGGCAGGCACGGGCCCCGAGGGCGGCCTCAGCTTCGAAACGGGGGGGGGAAAAGCACATGCATACACAGGTGTATGCTTTTGAGCATATATATGTTCAGAGGAGTTAGTGGGCTGGGGGTGTGGCCCAGAGCACGAGGCCCCGGGTTCGATTCCTCAGCACCACATACACAGAAAAAGCCCGAATTGGTGCTATGGCTCAAGTGGTAGAGCGCTAGCCTTGAGCAAAAGACGCTCAGGGACAGCGCCCAGGCCCTGAGTTCAAGCCCCAGGACTGGAAAAGAAGAAGGAGACGGAGGGGCGGGGGAGGAGGAGGAAGAAGAGGAAGTTAGGATTGATCTTGGAGAACACTCTGCTGGGCCTTGAGCTATTGGAGGCCCCTGGACTGTTGCAAATGTCACCGTGGCTGCGGTGATTTGATTTCCTTGGAGATCTCCATCGACCACCCTTGTTTTACTTGGTTAAGGCCATGGCGTTTTGTGGTGCTGGAAACAGGGTTTGTACCAGTTTACTAAGGTTAAAAAAAAAAAAAAAAAGTATGTGGATGTGCCCGGTCCGCTTTGAGAGCGGGTCAGACCTTGAAAAGAGTACGAGGTGAGGGGGAAGAGAATAAAAAATCCCCCTCCTTTTTCCACACAGTCACTGAAGGAGCCATTGCAAGGGCAGCGGGGCACAAGCATGCCAGTAAGGGCACTGATAGTTACCTTGCATCAACAATGAGTAGACCACAACCTGTGCTGCCCCTCTTTTGCATAGAAATATTTGTACGTGTATTAGTCTATATGGGGGGAAAGCACCGAGCTCTGAATTGTAGTGATGCCATTTGTTGAGGTGTCCATAACCTTAGGAAATAAGCGGCTTGCTGAGAGGAAATGTAAGAGGGAAGTTCTAAAGAACAGCAACCGGGGAGGGTGTGGGTACATGACAGCTAGTTGAAACTATGTCCTTCATGAACTCTGCTCACCTTGCTTCCCAGGAATTAATGAGGCATGCCAATAAGTCAGGGATCTACACATTTACAATATGGATTAAGGTGGCTAAATAAGTGGAGAGACAGGTTCCCATATTGTCTGTTCTGAGGGTTGCTTTATGATTTGGTCATGTACATGGATGGCATTCACTCAGACATATTAAGGTGTATTTTTATTCATAAGATTTAGGTTTATGTTGTGTTTGTAGGTCTTAAGAGGAGATACATGATTCAGAGAGAGCATTTAGGCAGGTCCTTGGGCATTGTTAACAAGGAAGAATATCTGGAGGTATAGGAAGAGATAGGGTGTGGAGGCAGCCACATACACTTGTTACAGTGAGGTGCAAGTCCCAGATGCAGGGATTCTTTTGTCCCTTTGTTATTCCCTACTCCTCTTCTGCCCTTCTAGTTGCATTCTCCTTAGGAATACATTTGCTTAGACTTAGTAGGGCGTGTTACTCCTGGTGAACAGGCTTGAAGAGCAAATATGGGTGTTAAGGTCCCAGTAGTGAACTAGAGATACCAACTGCCCCTATGCATACACACCTTCAAACTCCAAGCAGAAGGCTTGGAATGTGGCTTAGTGATAGAGTGCTTGCTTAGCATGCATTCCATTCCTCAGTACCACACAAACAGAAAAAGCCTGAAGTGGCTTTATGGTTTATGTGGTAGAGTTCTAACCTTGAGCAAAAAAAGAAGCTCAGGGACAGTTCTCAGGCCCTTAGTTCAAGCCCCAGGACTGGCAAGCAGAGTTGCTCCTGCCCCGCACACACTTTAGAAAAAAAAAATTGCAGAACACTAACCAATGCCTAGCAGAGGCAATGTGATCCCAAAATAATAATAGTGAAAGAGCCCTTGCTAGATGCTAGGGACTGTACTGGATATTTTTCACATCCAAGCCTATGCTGTTACTCCCATTCTATAAAGATACTTGGTGGTAGTGGTGGTGGTGGTGGTGGTTATTCTTTTTGTGCTTATCTTAGGCTTGAACTCAGAGCCTGGGCACTCTCCCTGAGCTTTTTTGCTCAAGGCTAGCACTCTACCACTTTACACCACAGCTTCTCTTCCAGCTTTTTGGTGGTTATTTGGAGATATTAGTCTCACAGACTTTCCTGCCCTTAGAACTGGAATTCTCAGATCTCAGCCTCCTTAGAAGCTAGAATTATAAGTTTGAGCCATGGGTACCCAGAAATAAAGACACTTTTATCAGTAAACCTGTCTATGACCAAAATCCTGAGAAATGGATGAACTACAAATTTGAACCTGGTTCTGATTACAAAGAAGTCTGCTCAGTGTCAGAAACTCAAGCTTCTTACCCATTTCCCTACCCTAACCCCTATACACACACCTCTTAGACTGAAAAGAGAAAAGCAGATTGGGAAAAGCTACATTTATGACTGGAAAAAACTGGTGTTGCTTCCCTCCTACTTAGGACTTTGAGTAAGTGAAAAGAATGATAAAGAGGTAAGAGGAGCCTTGTTACTTCTAGGAGGCTGGGCCCTCCTGACTCAACGAAAAAAACAGCAGGGTTAAGGAAAAGCATCAAGCAGAAATGCACACACATTTAGCCTCCACTTATCACTTGGAAATCTAAGTGCAAGGACAGTTTCTCAGTGAGGTATGAACATAACCAGCATGAGGGAAGGGGTTCTGGCAGCATGATAACTACAAATAATGCCAAAGCCTCTAAATGGTCAGCCTTCTTACAGAACTCACTACCACCCCTGATGAAAGAATTATTTGTGATATATTTCCATAATCATTACTCAAGAATTCATCATACACAAATAGGAGACTTTGTAAACTAGCAAAGCCAGTGCTCTTTTAGAGTTAGGGATTGGGTTTTGTTTTGTTTTGTTCTGTTTTGTTGCAGTAGTAGGATTCATTCTCAACAAAATTTTCTGTGGAGCCATCTACTAATCCATAAGTGTAATAATCAGTGTTAGAATTAAATCATATGGCTGGCCGCTGGTGGTTCACGCCTGTAATCCTAGCTACTCAGGAGGCTGAGATCTGAGGATTGTGGTTCAAAGCCAGCCCGGGCAGGAAAGTCTATGAAACTCTTATCTCCAGTAAATCACCAGAAAACCAGAGATGGTGCTGTGGCTCAAGTGGTAGAGCGCTTGCCTTGAGCTGAAGAGCTGAGGGACAGCACCCAAGCCCAGAGTTCAAGCCCCACCACTAACAAACAAAAAAGAAAAAAATAAAGAATTAACTCCCATGATTTGTAAGATCGACTTAAAGACACAAATCTAGGACTAGGGATATAGCTCATTGGTACAGTCATTGCCTAACACACAGGAAGCCCTGGGTTCTAACCCAGTACTCCAAATAAAGGAACAAGAAAGAAAGAAATCAGCAACTGTCACCATAGTTAAATCTGTTGGAGCATATTAGCAGCTTTGTATTTTGTACTCAAATCCATAAAATACAACTCAACCACAGAACTCTTAAATGACCTCACATAACACAGAAAAACATTGTGCCTAGATTAAAAAGAGGAAATGCATGGTCAAGGGAGCAAAGAATCCTGCTCAGGGTTTACATACCCTTATCATCTGGTCACTAGTTTCCCACATCAGTTACTCAAACATTTTTAAGACAATTATGGAAAATCCAAGACCCTTTGTCATTGGAACAGCTGCCACCTGCTACATTTTACTTTCCAGTGGCCTCCTTTCCAAGTACCTTTCATTAGTACTTAATGAAAGCTATCCATAATAAGCCAGCAATAATGCAAGTGTTTATTTTGACTGCCACTTGACCTTGACCAGTGCTAGTAATTCATTTGTTGAGAAAATGTTTAAGATCATATGAGCCAAGCACCTTGGAGATACAAAGTAGATATAAGATAAAATTTCTGTACTTGAAAAGCTCACAGAGAGTCCTATAAACAGTCACAAGAACAAGTTTAGAATAGTTCCCACAGTGAGGATAATTATGCCAAGTTAGTGTTAAATTTGACAAATGGTTTCTTGCTACCTATAAATATCTAGATTTATCTCTAACAGGTATATCTATTCTCTACTGAATGATTTAGTCCCATGAAGTAACAAAATGCCTACAGATTCTCTGTCAGAATGAAAATTTGCACAAGAAAATAAAGATAGCTAGATTTAAATATTAGTGCCAAATCCTCTGGATCAGGGTAACTGCCAGGAATATTG